TGGAACCAGACCTTGACACTTGTGTTCTTGTACCTTAGCCTTTAGCATCTGTAAACGTGAGCTGAGAATGATCACTTAAAGTCTTATTGTCCTTGCTTGGTTCTATCTTTATTTTACTCACTGAGTCATTTGCTGTCAGCCTTGGTCCGAGGTTTGCTGGAGTGAAACTGATTTTTTATAATTCAGCTTTATTTACTAATAGATCTTTTTAAAGGTAGATATTGCACATAAAAAGTGGCTTTAAAAAGAGGGTAATAACACCCTCACCCTATGGAGTGAGGATTAAATAAGATAATATCCATAAACATAAAGAACAGGCTTTGGTACATGGTAAGCACCATGTCACTGTTTATTATTATATTATCTTGCCACTCACTTCTTGTTTGTTTGTTTTTGTTTTTTGAGCCAGAATCTCACTCTGTTGCTAAGCTGGAGTGCAGGGGCGTGACGTCAGCTCACTGCAACCTTCACCACCCAGGTTCAAGCGATTCTCCTGCCACAATCATCTCCCAAGTAGCTAGGCCTACAGGCATGCACCATCATGGCTGGCTAATTTTTGTGTTTTTAGTCGAGATGGAGTTTCACCATATGGGTGAGGCTGGTTTCAAACTCCTGACCTCAAGGGATTCGCCCGCCTCAGCCTCCCAAAGTGCTGGGATTACAGGTGTGAGCCACTGTGCTTGGTCTCTACTCACTTTTAAGGACAGCAGAGCAGAGGTCCAACTGCCAGGACAAAAACTGGACAGCTACTCCTCTGATAATGGGAAAGAATAAACTTTCCTGTGCCATCCTGACCTCTTCTATCTGTATACCACAAAGAGAAAAATAGCACTTATTTTACGAGAATTTTAACCCAGGGATAATACTTGAGACCCGGTGTGTGCATTTTAAGCCCACAACTAAAGAACCACTCCTGGAAGTTTAAGCCTTGGTTTCAACTTCAAGAACATAGTGTGAATGATCCTATTGGGTTAGTACAAAATGCTCTCGCCACCATACTGGCTACCATTTATTCATCACCTACCACCTGCCAGGACTCTCTCTTTCATATAAGTACATCTAACCCTGGCAACAACCATATAAGGTAGGTATTATTATTCTTCTTCTCATTTTATATTTAATAGATGTGGGAACTTGGGACCAGAAAGATAAAGTGATTTGCCTAAGGCCAAGCAGACTCAGAATTAGAATTTAAACTCAGGTCTGGTTAACTATCAAGTCTATTCTCTTCCCACTGAACCTACTCCTGTTTATTGTGATCTTGGTACAAAGAGGACTTGAGCCTTGGGGGCTTGCACTGCTGATTAAGTAAACGGGTTAATGCCTACAGCTGCTTTGCTGAACTGTTCAGCGCTTCCCACTGTGTACCTGGGCTCCATGCCAGCCCTGCAAACCCCCTCCCTCCTGACACCCACACGGGCTCTTCAGACTCAGCATCTATGCTCCTGACCCTGGCCTGGGTTGAATCCTCCACCCTGCTCATGAAAAGAGTAGTGTGAAATTGACATTGAGACAATCAGATAAAGCCGGCTGGTTCTGGTCCTACCTGTCGGCTACCTCCTCCTCTGTTCCCACGTCTGGTGACCTTCTGTTTCACCTCAACTCCTCTGTCCACTGTTTACTCAATTCCTGCTGAGCAGGCGTTGAGGTTATAACGAAAGGTGATGGAGACCCCCCTCTCTTTCCCCTTACCCACTACCTGGCACTGAACACAAGAATCCCTGATTACACTCCTGGAAGTGTGGGGGTGCACACCTCCCTTGGGATGGAGAAGAGTGAACTGAGAGAGGTGCAGTGGCTTCACTCATGCTGAACTGCTTTTAGGAATGTCAGGCAGAGGGGCTGACACTCCAAGCCCACACTGAGATCATAGCATCAACATGAACTGATGTTAGGAGTTACTGTCCCACACCTCCCTGACCCCCAAAGATTCAGATGTTGCAATCATATCTCCCCATACCTCAGAATGTGACCTTATTTGGGAACAGGACAGATGTAATTGATTAAGACGAGGTCACAGTGGAGTGGCCTCTAATTCAATATGACTTGTGTCCTTATAAAAGAGGATAAACGGACACAGACATGCTCACAGAAAGAATGCTTCCTGTGAAGATGAAAGAACTGGATGATGCATCTCCAAGCTGAGGGATATCCGACTGCCAACAAGCCACCAGAAGCTAGGGGAGGGCATGGGACAGGTGCCTCCTCACTGCCCTCAACCTGCTGACGCCTCGAGTTGAACTTCTAGCCTCCAGAACTGCGAGAGAATGACTCTCAGTTGTGGGAGCCACCCAGTTTGTGACATTTGTTATGGCGGCCCTAGGAAACCTCTAAGCTGCAGAGATACTCAAAGAGTCATGAAAGTGACTCAGCTCTGGGGTGATCGGGGGAGAAAATAGAACCAAGGTTGTGGGAGTGCATTCTGGATGGGCTGAGGGAGTCTGGTTCATAGACAGGCCCCAATCCCTCCCTGAGGTTCTTCGGAGATAGTTCCAGACCAGAAACAGCTCACTCTCATCAAATGCCCAAGGCCACGGGCAGTCTCTGGTGCCCACCTGGGGACACGGGAAAAAGTGAGATTTTAAGCCTAGTGTCACCTTCATGCTAGGGAGTCATTACAGCTTTCATGGGTCTTAGCCACTTTGGTTTTACTGGGCCTCTTCCTACATTTAAAAAAAATATTTAAAATATTTTATGACTTCATTGGTGTAAAGACAAGTGTAATCTATGCCAGGCCGACAACTATATATTTGTTATTATTATATTCATTTTTCTCCTGATTTTAAAAGAAACTAAAACTGAAACATTTTTTGTGGGCCATTGAAAGTGGTGCGGGCTCAACCTCTGCACCTTCCGTACCTATGGGGATAAGTTGGCCCGACCCCACAGGTAAAATGAGAGACCCATCAGGGAAGCAAAAAAACTGACCTTTGCTGGATGACATTGCCACCAAGAAACTGAGTCTTAAAAAGAGCTGTTAGCCGGTGGCTCAAGCCTGTAATCCCAGCACTTTGGGAGGCCGAGGCGGGTGGATCACGAGGTCAAGAGATCGAGACCATCCTGGCCAACATGGTGAAACGCCGTCTCTACTAAAAATACAAAAACTAGCCGGGCGCGGTGGCGTGCACCTGTAGTCCCAGCTACTCGGGAGGCTGAGGCAGGAGAATTGCTTGAACCCAGGAGGCGGAGGTTGCAGTGAGCCAAGATTGTGCCATTGCACTCCAGCCTAGCGCCTGGCAACAGAGTGAGACTCTGTCTCAGAAAAAAAAAAAAAAAAAAAAAAAAAGAGCTGTTAGCAAGTGTGTTACATTAAGTTCTTGCTCCAGCCTTTAAAAGCTATGCAATGACTACACAGGTTGCATATCTGGTGTCAAAAGGTCCACAGTTGCCTTACACTTTTCCTTTACCTCAGGATGAACCGAAAAATAAATACTTCCGGGTATATATAGAGAGAACCATGCTACATATTGGCTGTCACCACCTGCAAGTGCGTGACCATAAATCCACAACCCTTCTGCTAGGGCAGCTGTTGTACTTTGTCAGAAGCCTACATAAAACATCCCCCTATGTATTGTATTATTGGCCTTCCTGATTTACTGTATATACAGTCTCCAAGTTAAATACCAACAGAAGCACCCGAAAATATATTCTCTTGCAGCCCGTCTGAAAACTGCATTGCCCAAATAAAGTCTGCTCATTTATCACTTACTTCCCAATATCTGAGTGTCATTCTCTGAAATATCCCTACAGCAGTGCCCTGTGAAACGCCAGCCCAGAGAAGGGGAAGTGAAATCACCAGCTTCAAGGCCCAGGCATTTAAAAAGAGAGCATGTTTCAAAAATGAGACTAAGCAATTCGCACAGTTGGTATCTGGCTTCCCTTAATGTAATATTGGAATCCTTCCTTTAAATGCACACCTCCTAGCAATAGGAACAGTGATAACAAATTGAATACATAAACCCACATAAGTGGTTCTCCCTAGAATTCATTAAGAAGTGTTCTTGTTTATACAGGATTCCAGTTGATTTCTGTGAGGGATCCAGGAGCATAGATTTCTACTCAGTGACAATCCACCGGAACACACAAATCCAGACATAAAACTGATTCCTATGTGATAGTTCAGATGTGTGTCCCCTCCCAAATCCCATGTTGAATTGTAATCCCCAGTGTTGGAGGTGGGACCCGGTGGACGGTAACTGGATTTTGGGGTGGTTTTCTCATGAATGGCTTAGCACCATCTTCCCTGGTGCTGTCCTTGTGACAGTGAGTGAATTCCTGTGAGATCTGGTAGTTTAAAAGTGTGTGGCACCTCCCCACTTCTCTCTCTTGCTGCTCCAGCTATGTGACACGCTGGCTTCCCCTCTACCTTCATCGTGATTCTAAGTTTCCTGACGCCTCCCCAGAAGCTGAGCAGATGCCAGCATCATGCTTCCTGTACAGCCTGCTGAACAATGAGTCAATTAAACCTCTTTTTAAAATACATTACCCACTCTCAGGTATTTCTTTATAGCAATGCAGAACAGACTAACATACCATGTTACAGGTTAGCAATATGAGAATAGAAAGGGTATAGCAGACATGTACTTATTTCATAGACTAATCTAGGCTTGAATATCAGCTTTACAACAACTAGACAGACATTTTTGAGCCCCTTATCCTTCATCTACAAAATGAGGTCAAAGCCAATACAGGACAAGGTTGACTGGGAATTCAACCTCCATCCCCTCCTTTCCAACAGAACCCTAATTTTGTTTAGGTAACTAATCATCCACGGCTGGCTTCATGGACAAGCGACAGGGCCTCTTGCTCAGAAGGGCCCTATGCTTGGGGAAATGCTCTGCTGTCACCATCTTGAAATTCTTAATAATTTTATCTTAAACTTCTGGTTTGGAAGTAAAGTCTGATGAGACAACACAGCATGCAGTGAGCAGAGAAGATAAACATGAAATGCACATCTGGTATCTTAGCCAGCCCAGGTGTCAGCTCCGTAACATACTTACCTTCTACTTGCTTTCACTCTTGCTGCACTGCCATGCACTGTGGCTTCACTGGAATTCGATGATCATGTTCTGTGTCAACATGTCTGCAATTGAGGAGGCAGCAGTACTGACAGCCCTGGGTGGCTACGCTTTCCATTCCAATCATAACTTGCTTGGACACAGAAAGAAGGCAGTGGCATTCTAAGAAACACAAATGATCAAGGGAACTTGTCATAGCCTTTCCCACTCATGTTACATTTTTTGTGTTACTCAAACAGTTACGCTGAAAATGACGAAAGGGAAAGGTAGGGCAACCTATGGTTCTTTTATTTTTTTTTTCAGGCCCTTCTTTATTCACAATGAGTAGGAATGTAGAGCGTTAGCAGAATGTGCACATAGCAAGAAATGAAACAAAAATGGTTGAATTAGTTTTGTGCAGAATGTCCCTGTTTGGTAAGAATAAAATACTTGTGCATGTACGAGCTACAAACTATGAATTATTTTATTTCACAGATTCACATAGGAATTAAATTCCCTTATATATGTCAAACACAACCCTGGCTCCAAGCATGGGAATGATAGCACCAGGGGTAATTTTATCCTGCTTGCTGGTGATTGGTCCAGGACAGGCATGTCACTCAATCAGACCAATGAGAAGCTTGCTAAGGACTCCTGAGAAAGGTCTGTCTTCTGCTTCCAGACTGACTTTGTTTATTGCATCTTTCTACAAAGTGAGGAAGAAGCCAACATGCAGAAAAGGGTCGAGTCACAAATTCACTGGGAAAAAAAAACTTATTAAAAGAATTTGTGGAAAAATAGAACTAAAGTTTCCAGACCAAGCAACCTAAGCATCGGTCCCCTGCTGTGACTTCCAGGAATGCGAACCAACTATTTCATTGTTGCTAAATCCTGTTTAAGATGGATTTCCTGTAACTTCATGCTGAAAGCATATTGACGAATGTTTGTTGCCTAAGTGAATGAATGTGTACAGCATTGTAATCCCGGCACTGGACAGGCTATGAAAAACTTCATGGGTCTTAAAGAGGAGTCAATCTGACAGCTGAAGAACAAGGAATAAGGCAGTGCAGGAAGGAAGGGGCATCCTGGCGTGTGCAGGGGTGAGAGGCTGACAGACATTAGGGATCAGAAAGGGACATGGTCTGGAGATGCAAATGGTTCATGCAGGGAGAGCAGGGACCATGGAGTGGCTGCCCTGGACTTTCAAGGGTCTGGTATTTTCTCAAGGTGGTGCGGTTAGTTGCAGGTGAACCCTATGCTATGCTTAGAAGTGCTTGCAGTGGTAAAGAGATCTGGAGCCACACAGCCATGATAAGATCTTAGGAGCTACCTCCTCATTTATACAAAGGTGTTTTACTGAGATATTAGTAGCTCAGTTTGAGTTTGAGACCGAGCCCTGCCCCTCATTAATGGTGTAACCTAAGTAAGTTACTTTATCGTTCTGTGTCTTGGGTCCCCGAAAAAGAAAATGAAGAAGGTATGTACTTACCCCCTCCTTTTCCAAGAGGCTGGTGAGGCCATCCAGCGTTTGGCACCTGGCAGGAGTTGCATGGATGTTGGTTATTATCCTTTGATGGCCTTACATGGTTCCTTGCAGGGGGAAATTGTTTTTCTTACTTGGGAATCCACCATCCCTACACTTTCCCTCATCTTTTAATGTCTGGAGACTGCTGTCTGCAATTGTAAACCACTCTTTCACCTTCCTGATGCCCACATTACATGTAGCTTATTTTTGCCTTTCTGATATTCAAGCAGAAGGAAGATGATGAAGAGGCTCTTGGGACCAAAGTTAACACCAGTCAGTCAGCCTCTCTAACTATCCCCTACAGAGACTGAAGGGGCTCGATTCTGCAACTTAGAGTTTGAAGAGGAAAAGCTAAAATCCACACAAGGAAAAATCTGTGGCTGATTTCAGCTTCTTTAAACAAATTTTTCAAGTAAATAAAGCGTATTTTTATAATTTTCAACATATTGTAGAATACTGTTCATCTTGGTGATCTGTTTCCCCAGGCCACACTTGACAACATTTGGTATTACCTCCCACAGACCCTTGCACTTCCTTGGAATCAGATATGACCCTAATAGGGACAGCACATTTTCTTTAGTTTATTTATTCATATTCATTTAATGCCTATTGCATGCCAGGTACCATTTGGTGAGCTGCCTTACACAGTTATCTGCATTCTATATATTATGCATGATATAATGGATGAGCTTACACATATGTACTTCTGCATTTCAAATAGCTCAAGTAAACTACAGAGGGAATATGCAATTTAAGCCACAAACTACTCTTAAAAACTTTGCTTCAAAACTCCCACCAAGAATTGGATAGTTTGTAATTCCACTGATTTCTGGTCTCTGGATTAGTCTAATCTTTCTGAAGTGGATATAGAAATGTAATTCCATTCAGCACATCGTTACCAGCAATATTTACAGCTTGCCCTTAAAAAGTAAATGAACTGGAGAAACTAGAGAAATTGTAAACCAGCAAGACCCCAAATTTCCATGAATCTTTATATTAATGTGATAAAAGACATAAAAGTTCTTGGCTGCGGTTTAATGCTAGAAGATGATTCAGATGCAGAACATCTGACAAAGATTTTAAAAATTCTTTTTTAATGAATATGCAGATTAAGCAAGCTCAGTACATAAGAACAAAATCACATATGTTATCAATTATTTGAAACACACAGCACAAACAGCCAATAAACACAGGTAGAACCCCTCAGTGTTGTTGGTAAGATTACGGGGGTGGGGAGAGATTGCTTAGAGCTGTTATGTTAATTAAGGAATAAAATGGCTCCATCTGCTTACTCCGTCCCTTTGTTGAGCTACCAGTGCCTTTTGCCGTTTGGTTCTAAGTTGACACTGAGCTAGGGAGCCGATGCCCAAGTCCCTGGCCTCAGCTGGTTTCCACATTGAACTTGGAGAGGAAGGTCTGGCAGGCTGCGTCACAGACTCTCTCCATCACTCTTAGAATGAGATGGGGGGAATGGCGTGGCAGGATCGCCTCCCCACGCAGATGTAGCTTGGTGGCGGGTAAAAATCTGTGGGGTCATGTTGCTTTACTTGTCCACATAATTTGCATTGTAGCACTAACCCCATGTAGTACACAATGTAGCCACCAACAGTCAACTTTGGGGGCAAGATCCTATAAGAGTGGAGTCTGGGGTTTTTATTTGGTGTCTTTCTTAGGGGCCAAATCAGAGACACTTTCTGCTAACTGCTGAGACCTACGTTAGAACACAGATTGGATATATTTTATAAAAAACGGGGGGCTTCTCATGCCTCCCGCCTTTACACATGAGCAAGTGACCCTCTGTAGCTTTCTCTATCAGCTCATGTTCCCTAATTACGGTAAAAATCATTCTATCCAAGCTGAAGGTAAGAATGAGAGTAGGGTAAATTTTAAATACATTACGTTCATGACCATGCTTAAAGCCATTAGTATGTATCAAAAGTCTTTAATAAACATCCCATTGCTTTAAAAAGACAGTGAAAATCATACTATCCTCTCTTTTGTTTTTTCTATTCTCTTTTCTGGAGGCACTAAGGAGCAGTGACATATCAAGAAGGTAGTTAAATTTCAAGAGGAAAAATTCATTGAGCACCTGTCATGCGGTGCACATAGTCCTTTATGCACGGAGTGCCCCATTGCCTCCGTCAGAGTCCACAAACCTCCCCTTGCTCTCAACTGGAGGCCAGGAGAATTATTGTTCTTTCTAGCCCTGTGATGAGATGAATTGGTTATCCCATTCTTGAATTCTTTCACCACCCTTCCCCAACACCACGTCCACCCCTACACGAAGCAATCCTTGAAAAAAGTGGCACATAACTGCAAGCCTTATCCCACACAGGAACCAAGGACAACAGCCATTGACCATTAAGTGGTTCTCTAAAGAGACAGCAGGGCTCAGGGGCAGGAAAGTGTCAAGTGGTGGGGCCTGTTTTATCAGAAGAAAAAGACCAAAGTCATGACAACGGAATAAATATTCTTTGCGATGAAACTGGGGTAGTGACTCTAAGAAAAAATATGAAGGCTTACCTCAACTGCAGCATTCTTAGGAGTGGAGAATGGTCTGAAATTGGGGTGTCCCAATTTATCAAATTCTTTGGACCCATCATTATCTTCCTCCAGAGTTTACCACACTCAAGAAGAGAAAATATCCGCAGACTGGTTGAAGTGCTGAGGCATTACTCAAATTGCAAGGCACAGGAAAGTGATGAGGATACTCTTCTCTTCTCTGGGGGAGGCATGGAGCTTCCTGAGGGAAGGGACGAGGCTGTTTGTGAGGCATCAAGGGTAGGGGAGGTGCTAGGAGCCAGCGAGCAGAGACGGAGAGTGGGACATAGCCCAGGAAAACAGGTGTCATAGGTATCTGTATTTAGCTGGTTCTTCCTATTTAGGCTGCAGGAGGACAGCTAAGTGGGTTGCTATTGTTGGTTGTTTCAACTTTTATTTCTTCCAGACTCTAATTTCCCTCACAGAATCGCCTGATCTTTCAATAAAAAGCCCTTCCTACACTGTCCATAATGTGCGTGTCCATTCCAAACCATTTTTGCGTGAAAGGCATTTAAACAGATGCCAGTGGCTCTGGAGAGCACCAGAAATACACGTGAGAAGCTCAAGACAGTGTGATGCAACTTCTTTATTGCTTCTGTAGATTAGTGAAGATTCCCCTCATAATGATACACGTAATCTAAGTTATATTCACCTTAGCCACCAAGTAAGATTGCAACCCAAGATGCTGTGAAATTCTTCTTCCTGCATTTATTTGAAAGAGAAATCTCTTTAAAATCATCCAAATGTAACGGTGAGAGGGCATGTGGAACACTTGAATCCAGGGCACACAGCAGAGGTAGTCAAGAGTATGCTAAACAGTGTGACGTGGGTCACGGAAGCTCAGCACGCTGAGGGGCCCAAGATGCTGAAGCCTTCCTTCTGTATTGGGAATCATCGTAAAAATGCAAACAGTGATGGTGAAACTCATTGATTGGTTACAAAGTGGTTACTGTTCGAAATGCTGTCCATGTAATAACTCATTTAACAAGCAAATTTTTTGCAAATCAAGTGCAAAGAGAATAGAAGAGTTCTATGCATTGTCCCTAATTTCCCTTGCAAGGCATACTAAACATTCAAATGAGCTTCTTCCTTGGTATAATTTATTATTTACTAATCATTGATGGCATCCTGAGACAACCAGAAAGAGCCAGCCTCAGACCCCAATGCAACAAGACCAACTCTACCAGATTCTACTAATAATGAGGTTCCCATCCCATGTTCCCAGGTTCACAGCCTATTGCAGAAGTGAGTACCAGTCTTTCAGTGGTATAGATTTGAAATAGGCTGAAATAATGTTCTGTTGTTTGAGCAACATCAATTGAAGCCGTATTGCTAAATAAGCTATCTTTTAATCAAAACCAATTTACCTACCTTTTTCTGTTTACAATTCATTAACTTTAAAAACATAGTATTATACAAAACATAGAAGTCATTAATTAAAATCCCTACAATCAAATTAGGCTCTGTAGGTCTGGGACATTTAGAAGAGGACATATAGGGGTTGCCATAGTAACTCATCAAGTCGTGATTCTGTACCTTTCTGAGTGAAAGCCTAGAGAAGACAAGCAATTTGGGGAGACTAGCACCAGAAATTAAGTTCATCTGTGACTTAAGCTCTCTGTGATTTTGTTTACCAGCTACTCACCATGTGAATGAAAAATAGTAAAAAGACAGAAAAGATTCACATTTCAAGGCTCCCTACAATTGCCAATTCCATTCTATAGCTGTTTCTCAGCACAGGAAGACATGGGACTAGAAGGCTGAGCGATGACACTGTCATCAAACAGTGAGCTCCAAGGAGAAGTGTAATTGTTGCATCTCAATGGCAGGAGGCAGGTGGTTCCCCAGGGGAAGGGCTCTGTTTAATCCTTAGGTTAGAGCCCAGCTTCAGCTCAGCGTCACAGGTCAGTTACCACCCTCTGGACTGAACCATACACCAGCGTAGACTCCCTCCTCAGCACCTCTGTACATTCAGAGGTCCTGTATGACACGCTGAGAACTCACACCCTTCCAGGGCTGCTGGAGATCGTATGGCTGACCACCAACTTAGATTTTATCTCATTTGTCAACCAAGACATGATTGTTGAAAACTTTTTAGGCTTTTTGTGTAACTCTTTGCTTTCTCTCTCACCTTATTTAGACGGCATTGAATCCAGGTTCTCCAAGACTGTCTTCCCCGCTCTCACACCAGGCCTGGTTTCTCTGTTTAAAATACTTGTATGAAAACTGACAGATTATAAAATCTTCCTAAGCAGATAAGTTGCCTGATGTGGTCAGGAAATGTGAACAACCGTAATAATCATGAGGACATTATTAATGGCAGGGATCTATGTCACTTAGCTTTTAAAATTCCAGAAGATGAGGAACAATAGAATCAATTGTGTGACTGTTATCAAGGGTGCTGTGTTATGTTATTTTCAGTGGAGGCAACTTCTCCCCTGCCTGGGAACGTTGGTGGTTGGGGGTCTTATGCAAAGTCAGTGCTGACTGAATTGTGACAAAGTGAGGGCCAGAGAAGGGTTCTCTTTTTAAATGATGTGTAAGTGTGATGAATATGATTAGAATGTAGATACAGATAACACATTAGCAAAGTAAATAATTAAGTAAATAATTTTTTACTTAGCGAGACAATTCCAGTGTTTATTGGAGTTTCACTGGATTCTAGTTGATTTGTTAGTAATTTACTTAACTTTCTAACTTTGCACTGGAGAGCTATTTATGAGGCAACTAATGAGGCCTGGATAGGGTCATCAGTGCTAAATTAACTGGCCACGCCTGAACTAAAGGGTTCTACCTGGGGGCAGTCTACTTTTCAACACAAACAACAGCTACATGTTGATAAGCCACAGTGGTAATAAAAGGGGTTCGATTCGATTCTGTAAATGGCACATGTTGCCTGCTACAAGAAGGCATGAAAATGTGCCTTTTCATGCCAGGCACCTTCCCTGATAATGGCTCACTTTCCATCTTAGATTTTACAAAATTACCTCTAGTCCCCTCAGACCACATTCATCAGAGGAAAGCCTTCACTGAAATTAGCTTGCTATAGAAAGTGTTCATGGCCACAGAATATTGTGAATGTATTTAATGTCACTGAATTCCATACTTAAAAAAAGCAGTAATGATAAACCTCATGTTATGTATACTTATAAGCGATTATCCAAGGTTTTTTTTTTTTTTTTTTTTTTTTTGAGACGGAGTTTCGCTCTTGTTACCCAGGCTGGAGTGCAATGGCGCGATCTCGGCTCACCGCAACTTCCGCCTCCTGGGTTCAGGCAATTCTCCTGCCTCAGCCTCCTGAGTAGCTGGGATTACAGGCATGTGCCACCATGCCCAGCTAATTTTTTGTATTTTTAGTAGAGACGGGGTTTCACCATGTTGACCAGGATGGTCTCGATCTCTTGACCTCGTGATCCACCCGCCTCGGCCTCCCAAAGTGCTGGGATTACAGGCTTGAGCCACCGCGCCCGGCCAAGGTTTTTTATGAGTGATCTGGTGGAGGGTGTTAGGCTGTTCTCGCATTGCTATAAAGAAAATACCTGAGACTGCGTAATTTATAAAGAAAAGAGGTTTAATTGGCTTGCAGTTCTGCAGGTTATACAGGAAGCATGACACTGGCATCTGCTTGGATTCTGGGGAATCCTCAGGAAACTTACAATCATGGAAGAAGGTGAAGGGGGAGCAGGCATGTCATATGGTCAGAAAAGGAGCAAGAGAGGGAAGGCAGAGGTACCACACACCTAAACAATCACGTCACTTGAGGATTCACTCACTACTGAAGGACAGCACCAGGGGGATGGTGCTAAATCATTCATAAGAAACCCACCCGCATGATCCAATCACCTCCCACTAGGCCCCACCTCCAACACTGGGGATTACAATTCAACATGAGATTTGAGCAGAGAAACACACATCCAAACTCTCCCAGGGTGCTAGGGAGGGGAAGTGGGAAAGAAGGATAAGAAAGCACTGGAAGGGAAGATAGAGGGGAGGAGGAAGGGATAAAGAGAGGAGAGACAGAGGGGGAGCAAAGGAGGGAGGGAGAGAGAGAAAAAAAGAGACTGACTGATGAGAATGAGTTTCAGAGTATAGCGGAGGTTTTTTAGGTAGACAAAAATGTGAGGTGTGGCAGTAGACATTTGTGGTGCTTGGCTGCCTAGCATCTGAACACCCTTTCCACTCTGGAGGAATCTCAAGATGAAGCTGAGGGTGGCATTTGAAGAATAAACCAACTCAGGCATATCTAAGAGAATGCATATACCTAGGATTCTACATCTTGAGGGAGGGAATAAAATGCAGGTCAAGCCAACTGTGGACAGCTCTGTTGTGTCATTTCCTCTGGTTCTTGCCCATTTTCCTGTTTTTTTTTGTTGTTTGTTTTTTTTTTTTTTTTTTTTTTTTTTTTTTTTTTTTTCCCCCCAGCCCTTATGTTAATTCTGCCATAAAATCCTTCTGGTAACTTTTTTTCCACCTAAGTTACTCTATGTTAGTTTCTGTGGTTTGCAATGTTAATACAAACAGAAAACAAATAATTACTCCCACACTGTTGAATAATACTTGAAATCAAGGTCAAAATAAAAATTCAACTTTTTAAAAAAACAAAATGAGAATCTTAACTGAACTGTTAGCAACAAATCTTCCTTTGTTGTGGAAAAACCAGTTGACCTTTCCCATTTTCAGTCAATCAGGGGCTTGAATAATAAGAAAATACTTTTCTATTCTATCACAAAATCCAAATTCCCTGGAATATCAGAAGGACTGATTTCATGATCTTATCCGCTCTCTCTTTTTGTTATGCCTTCTTCAAAGGTTGCAGTAGGAATTCCCAAAGGGGCTGTCTTTTCCCTAAGAGTCTTACTAACGAGATGCCAGAAGCAGGGGCATTAGCTAGTGGACCCTAGGCTATTCCACCAGAGTGAGACAAAAAAGGGCTGAGTAGGACCCAGGCTCCAAACCACAAAGCCCCATGCTGAGAAGCAACCTGGTTCCCACTTGGGAGGGCAGGTGATGGGATGATTCTCTCCTAGCAGAAAGTCTTCATCTCTTTCTTTGAATTTATCAACCTTGATACTCAAGACAGTTGAAGAAATTGGGGAGCCCTGATATGGTTTGGCTGTGTCCCCACTCAAATCTCATCTTGAATTCCCACATGTTGTGGGAGGGACTGGAGGGAGGTAACCAAATCATGGGGGCAGGTCTTTTCTGTGCTGTTCTCATGGCAGTGAATAAGTCTCAAGAGATCTGATGGCTTTCTAAGACAGAGTTTCCCTGCACAAGCTCTCTCTTTGCCTACTGCCATCCATGTAAGACATGACTTGCTCCTCCTTGCCTTCCACCATGATTGTGGGGCTTCCCCAGCCATGTGGAACTGTAAGTCCATTAAACCTCTTTTTCCCCCCAGTCTTGGGTATGTCTTTATCAGCTGCATGAAAATGGACTAATACGAGCCCAGAAGCACCAAAACCCAATGTCTATGTAGCAGCATCTCTGGCTATGGATTGACCAATGGGGTATTTCTTTTGACTTCTTCTTCATCCCCTCTCCTTTTTCCCTGATGATTTGCCAGCATGTTTCAGAAATGGGCTGTACACCAAACCTTATTTACATCCTAACTCTAAGACAAACTATGCTTTTTAAAAAGCTGTATCATCTCTAAGGATGATTAAAAAATTTTTTTTTTAATTATACTTTAAGTTCTAGGGTACATGTGCAGATCTTGCAGGATTGTTACATAGGTATACACATGGGCGTGGTGGTTTGCTGCCTCCATCCCCCTGTCACCTACATTAGGTATGTCTCCTAGGATGATTTCAACCAAAAGGCTGAAATTAGAATCCCAGAAGCCAGTATTGAAATTATTTGGGGTGGGTTTGTTTTATCCTAAATGATGGGCATTGACTGCCCTTATTCCCTAGATATGCACACACCCCCATTAGGATAAGCACCCACTTTTCAATGAAGTGACCAGGGCAATGTGCAGCAGGTGTTTTTTCAGGATGAACAGTTCCTGAGGGAAATTTGCATCCAGCATTGCCTGCTCCACATCTGCATGGTATCTACTGGGCACCATGCAGGTGGAAACCAGAATCCAGGTCCAACCTGGCTCTACCCCTCAGCACCAGGCTGCTTGACAGCACCCCAGTTTGCACCTGCACTTGGAGAATTGTAAGGATTGGAGAGAAAACAGGGTGAGAACATGTTGGGCAATGCAAAGCACTCTAGAAACATCATTTGCCAGTGTCATGAGTTTTAGCTATATGGGGTGTGAGTGCTAATGCTCTCAAAGGACAGGCTCTGGAAAAGAAATGGGGCTGAAAGTTAAACAGTGACAAGTACATTATGGTTTGCTTTAGTTAAAAAAAAAAAAAAAGCTCTTTTTTCTCTTGCTATAGAAAAGAAAAGGGAAAATTGAGACCGTAAGTGACTTAAAGGTGAGTTGGTTCCTCTTTGAGAAGTTCGAAAATTGTGTACGGAGGTAGAAATCATCATAACTTTGTTAACAGAGGTGTCCATTTTCTTTCCAAGAGGTATTAGGAGCACTGGTGTTTTTATATTTGATTTCCTTGCCTTTCCTCTCTGCCAATTCTGATTTTTCTAATGGAGAAAATACATGGTTATCCGAGAGAAAGAGGGAAAAAAAGACAATGTTACTAAGGAACAGGCTATTACTAAGCCAAGGTTATGATACTGGAGAGAAGTCACATTTAGGAAAATATATAGAGATGTCTGACCCAAGTGAAAAAGATGAGTAAACAGATTCTGTTATGGACTTGGCACTATCTTTTGTAGAGATGCACACTATTTTCAATTGCAATTGCATGAGTTTTTCAGAAAACAAACAGCAGTTAAAATAATTACATTAATGCCTACATAGACATGTTTGTGTTGTTTGATATTCTTGAAATATTTTAAGTCCTTTGCATAATCAGATTAAGTAACAGGAACACAAAACTCCATAGCTAAAGGCCAATGTGATCCCAGGAGAGACCAGCAATGGCAAATAAATGAATTCTTAAGTAAACCAGAGAGAAAGGAGTTAAGACTTTGATCTAAGACTTGCTATTTTCAAACCATCTTCAAGTTAAATTACAGAGATACCTGGTGAAATGAATCACTGGACACCAGGGTTCACATGGCACCCTGTTCATTCTTCCTAAGACCCCATTGAAGGAGGCACATTGTGTGAGTGTGGCGAGACGTGACGCCCCATTTTGAAACAGTTTACCAATTTCCCCCTCTTTATGACCTTGGGTAAATGACTTCAGCAATTTTGAGCAGGGTGCTGCCTTTCCTACACTATAAAAATGGCTATTATGCCTATCGATCACACAGAGGTGCCACAAGGCTTAATTTATTAGTTAATGTTTGTGTTACACTCCGCAGCTCTTACATGGAAGGTGTTATAGAAATGCAAAGCAGCAATATATTACCTAAACATCTGCCTCCTCAAATAGCTCTCTAGAAAGTTTTCATTGCTTCAGCACAAATGATTTCCCCCAAAATGGATAATTTTGTCCAGGTCTTTCTCGGCCCATAAATTGATTCTCTCTCCTTTCACGGTATAGAGGCTCTGTGCAGAGCCCACTTTCCATCTTGTCCCTGAAATGATCACTGTAGCCTTGTGTGTACATTGCAATTACTGACAGTTTCCTTTTCCTCATCACATTTTCCCTCTTCATTCTTTACTCCAAAACACTATTATAATTTAACTCTTCTCTGTACACTTGATTTCATACTTGGGCATGTTATGTCCCACCCAAGAGCATGGGATTTTACAATTAGGCACTAAAAACAAATCACTTAAGAAGTTTTTTGAAAATAAAATAAGAAAATGCAAAATAAAAAGTCCAAGTTTGAACGTGTTTTGATGAGATGAAATTAACTGCTAAATTGCTAAGGATTATATTGCAGATTATTTCTGGTAATGTGAATATTATCCATAATTTTCTGCCCTTATTTATTAGTTGTTTGCAAGAGGCAGATCCAGGGGGCTTGGAAGAGTTATTTATTAAATAACTCTATAGCAAATGGGTATATATTTATATAGAAATTCCCTTATTTATTAGTTGTTTACAAGAGGCAGATCCAGGGGGCTTATCTATAGCAAATGGGTATTTATTTATATAGAAATTCCAGAGTTCCAACATCTATTTGCCTGGGATTTAGAAAGCTTCTTTTCTAAATACAATTAAAGAGAGAAAATAATAAATTATACCAACATAATGTATTCAAAGGCTTTCTTTTTTACATATTTTTACCTTCACTTCAGTTCTGATGCTGTTTTTTTATTTGCATATTATTCTTCAACCCTATTTTTGTGGTTATGGGAGTATCTTAAAATGTACCTGGGATTTTATTTATTTATTTATTTATTTAGAGACAGGGTCTCACTCTATTGCCCAGGCTGGAGTGCAGTGGCATAATCATGGTTCACTTGCAGCCTCAACCTCCTGGGCTCAAGCAATCCTTCCTTCTTGGCCTCCCAAATTTGGATATTACAGGTGTAAGCCACTGTACCCAGCCCGGCAATTTGTCTTAATCAGGTATGGTTGTAATTGCCCAGGTGGGTCTTCTTGCCCACCGCCCAGAAAAGCCAAGGTACTGAGAACAGCAAGTGTTCACAGCAAGAAAAGCTTTAATTATTGCAGGGTCAGCTAAATGGCATGATGAGAGATAATTCTCAAATCTGCCTCCCTGAGAATTCGGGGACAAGGGTTTTTCAAGGCTAGTTTAGCAAGCAAGGGGACTAGGAAATGGGAAATAATGGTTGTTTGCGTTGGAGATGAAATCATAGGGGGTCAACACTGTCTTGTGCTGAGTTAGTTCCAGGGTGTGGGTTACTGGTCCAGGTGGTGGCAGTTGGTTCATACAGAATGCAAGATCTGAAAAATATCTCAAACGCCAGTCTTCGGTTTTACAATAGCAATGTTCTCCACAGGGGCAATTGGTGAAGTTATTAATTTTGTGGCTATATGATTCCTGAGTAGTAAGTAGTTTTTAAAAAGCAAGTTATAAAACAATGACTGGTTAGAGTTTATACCTACATCTTAGCAGAATTCAGGCCCCTAACATAATTGTAACCTTGTGGACTTTCATTAGTTTTACAAAGGTGATTTTGGTCCCCAAGTAAGGAGGGGTTTAGCTTCAGAAAGGATCTGCTTTCATCTTTGTTTTAAATTATAAACAAAATTCCTCCCACAGTTAGCTTAGAATGAACAGAGGCAGTTAGCTTGTGAGGTTAGAAGCAAGATGGAGTCAGTTATGTTAGATTTCTCTTACTGTCACAATTTCGCAAAGGCAGTTTCATCAAGAGTTTATTACTTACAGGTTCCAAGAGGAGGGGCATCTCATGTTATGTCAGGCCTCAAGAGAAGCACCCAGGTCAGTCAGGAGGCAGAAAGAAGGAGGGAAATGCCTGGTACTTTTCTGTGGAGCGAAAGGGTAAGGCAGGGAAGGCGAGTTTGAGCAAGCTTAGAATAGGATAGTTTAAATAATGTGGGCAGGCTCTAGTCACAGGGGTTGTCTCTACTTGGCCTTGGGGTGATTTAGGCAGGGAAAATATTGGCTTGGTGTATGAGAGCAAGATAAAGCTGGTGGTGGCGGATTTGGGCTTTGGATTGGTGGGGCTGTATACAAAAGGTGTGCTCACAGGCAAGCTAACTGCTATCTCCAAGAATGGCCAACCCCTGGAGGGGCAGTCTCTCCCCAGGTCCACACAGCCCCCACAATGTCAAAACATCATGAAATACAAAAAAAAAAGAACATGATTAATACAGGGGGATCTTCTCTGAAATCTTCCAAGCAAATCTTTAAAATAAGTTTGGTGATATAATTCTTTTTATCTAGTGATAAAATATATGCTTTATATGAAAAAAAGTTGTAAAATCAATCATGAAAATTGCTACCATTGATGAATACTACTCTGCCTAGCAATTGACGAAACACTACATATGTGACCTCAATTGAAGTATTAAACTATAAAAGAAAGCTAAATAAAAAAGAAAAGCTTACATTACCTTGTGCCCTTATTTATTAGTTGTTTGCAAGAGGCAGATCCAGGGGTCTTAGAAAGGGGTAAATCAGCATTTTATTCTTTCTAGACAGAGCTGAGTCAGTCTCTCAGCACTCACGTGTGGCGTTGTGAGGCTGCTCGCTTAGTTGCATGACCTGCCATGTTGTGCAGTTAATTGGCCCATTTGAATGAGTTCTGGCATTGTTCGGCAGCTCAGCTAAGCGACTCTAACTGAAAAGCCTTCCGTACATGTCCTCAGTTTGTGGGAAAGCATTCTTCAACTGGCAGTATGCAAGCAGTTACTACCTGGCATATGTACCACCACTTCCCAGACCATATCGATGGCAGGTATCATTTTGTCTGAGCAAGGATGCAACCTCAGAAACTCTCTCAGCACAGTGTTCTGGGAAATTCACACCTAAGTTTCATAGGTTGGCATAATAGATGAAACATATTTATTTGCCATCTGATATGGTTTGGCTGTCTCCCCACCCAAATCTCATCTTGAATTGTAGCTCCCATAATTCTCACGTGTCGTGAGAGGGACCTGGTGGGAGGTAATCGAATCACATTGACAGGTCTTTCCCATGTTGTTCTCATAGTGAATAAGTCTCACCAGAGCTGATGGTTTTATAAAGGGGAATTCCCCTGCACACGCTCTCCTGCCTGCTGCCATGTATGACGTGTCCTTGCTCGTCCTTTGCCTTCCACCATGCTTGTGAGGCCTCCCCAGCCATGTGGAACTGTGAGTCTATTACACCTCTTTTTTCTTTATCAATTACTCAGTTTTGGGTATGTCTTTATTAGCAGCATGAGAACAAACTAATACACCACCTTTATAAGGAAGAATGAAGAATCTTATCTTCATACATAATTACAACTACTTTTTAGAGTGTTGTAGATCGAAAGATAATCAGTCACTGTTCACTGATTAAAGAAAATCAGACATAATTTGATGTTTACATGTTTATAAAAGATAATTGTCTCATGAAATGTGCAACGTACACTCCTGCTGATGAACTCAGGCCTTTTCCCAGTCAGCTTCAGATGGCATCTCTTGCTTTGGACAGCACAACCTCATCTCCTAGTGCCACTTTCCTCTGATACCAGGATCACTCATTCCCATGGGGACCCAATTCCGTAGGTGTGGCGTGGTTTGGTTGGAACTGCTGTTGCCAACCTTCACCTCCCTGCCTTCCTCCAACCTCACCACCGCTACCCCAAATTGTACAGGAGTAGGCAGCTAGATAACAGTATCGCTCCATCCATAGTGACTGCTTCTAGGCTGAGCCAGTCCCAGCTCTTCCTGGAACTCCTCTGCTGGAGCATCAGGGGAGACCATTTCTGCTGGAGATGCTAGGCTAGGAGGGTGATAGAGTTTGGCTCTGTGTCCCCACTCAAATGTCATGTTGAATTGTAATCCCTAATGTTGGTGGCGGGGCCTGATGGGAGGTGTTTAGATCGTGGGGGTGGTTTCTGATGGTTCAGTACCATCCCGCTAGTGCTGCCTCGTGACAGAGTTCTCCTGCGATCTGGTTGTGTGAAAGTGTGTAGCAACTCCCTCTCAGCCTTCCTCCTGCCCTGGGCACATGAAGACCATGCCTGATTTCCCTTCCCCTTATGCCATAAGTTTCCTAAGGCCTCCCCAGAAGCAGAAGTCTGTACATCCTGCAGAACTGTGAGCTAATTAAACCTCTTTTCTTTATAAATTACCCAGTCTCAGGTATGTCTTTATAGCAGTGTAACAACAGACTAATACAGAGGGTATAAACAAAGGGTTGGTGGTGGCCACCTTTCCTGTCATGTGAAAGACTGCAGGAATAATTATGTGAGCATGGTCAAGAGACATACGGCGAGAGACAGCGACAGTGATAGGGACAGAGCCTGAGCCCTTGGATTCAGCTGTTCCTGAAATCAGAACTTCCCAGTCCCAAGAGGCAATACATTCCTTGTGTGTCCCCTTAGGCTAGTTCAGAAATTGGATTTCTAAATTTGCAGCTGTCAGAATTTTAATTAATACAAAGACATGTTAAAAAATCAAAGGGATATTATTACCGTCTTTATGGTGCTATTTTGTGGTGTTCTGACTGTTGCACATGTGCTTGTTGTTGAAGAGATCCGTGCTCTATATAAAAGTTAACATTTACCGAGTGCTTACCACCGCTAGGCATTATTCTAAGTACTTTGAATAAATTAGTTCAGTGCATAAATTAGTTCTCATAAAATCATTTGCAGTGGGTATTACTAGCACTGCTATACAGATGCAGAAACTGAGACTGTAAACAGTAAAGAAACTTGTCCAAGGTCACAAAGCCTGTAAGTGGCTGGGATCTGAACCTAGGTAGACTGGCTTGAGTCTGTGCTCTTAGCCACTAAGCTAACACTTACAACTTGCCTTTGTCCTAGTTTCAGCTTTCATAATTATATCTAGCAATGAAAGAGAACAAGGCACAGTATCCCTTTCCCTTTCCTTGCCTTGAATGCCTACCTGGCCTCTAGCTGCTGTTCTAATCTTCCAAGATGAGAAACAGGCCTAGTTATACTTTACAGAGAATTTGAGAATCACCATCCTCTAGACTTGGGAACATGAAACACTGTCCATAAGCCTCACCTAAATTGGCACAATACTCCTCCCTAAAAATGCCCATCTTTTCGTAAGTCTATCTAACGATGTAATTCAGCCAGTGATAACCCCAAAATATACAGGTGAACTGCAGTATATAACACAGAATAAATATATCTGAGACAGTCAGATGTTGTGAGATGAGAAAGGGTATTCCTGCTGCTCAGGGATTAGAGCTGAAAGCAGGAAAATATGCTCTACTTAACTGGGTAAAGTCACAGCATTTACATTTCTTGTTGATAGCTAGTGAAGATTCCCCTTGAAGCTCAAGTTCTCGCTGCCCTCTGTCCCAGTCCCCTGTAGAATTGTCAAATCCCGCTTTTGCACTGAGTTACTTGATTACCTGCTGAAATCCTGAAACTGCCACAGCTGTTGCCACTTTAGCTCCTTGAATTTATGAGCACCAATGCATCTCCCCCCTGCATCTGCTTTGGCTGTTGCTTTTGAAAGGAGTGATCACACAAGGAGGGGAGAGGAAGAGGCCCAGATAGTTCTGCGGCACTGAAGGCAGTTAAGAAAAGAAGCAACTCTTGACTTTGCGATTAGAATAGTAGCAACTGAGAACATTAAATGTGTTTATCTTTCTTCTGAGGAATGCCAAGTATTTTTAAAACGAGAATCCTGACTCATTGTGCAGAAGCACAAGGACACGCACTAAAAATAGTGGCATGGTTTCTAACATCAAGATGCTCCCAGCGGGTAACAAGAGGTTTTCTTCTTAAATAGACAAGTAACCTACAGAGAGAAGACGAGGATCTTCTCTCTAAAGGACTCTGTCAGCTCTGTGGGATCTTCCTTTCAGATGACTGATAGGTAACAGCAAGGTGGAGGGCGGGAAGTGGAGCCCTATGGATATGGAAGTGGTACTGTTTCCATAAGGATTTCTCTTCTTTCCTTAATGTAATCGACATGCATTCTGGCTTCCTCAAGGTCCTAGATTAAAGTGGCTTTAAGCCAAGGAGTAAGCCAGTCAGACACCCTTTACACATCCTCAATTCTATATGGACTTTGATCTGGGACCAACTATTCTCTATGATCAATCTGTGGCATGCCATGGCCTCAGAAAAAGGCTGATTGTTGTGTGCTACCTAAGGAGAGTAAGACGCTTCTGGACAGTCAGATATTTGGGACCTTGATATTTTCCACAGTTGGGTCCACTGGCTCTTTATGCAGTGGTGACCAGACTCATGGACTGTAGCTTCTCAGAGTGAAACAGAGCGTCTCTCTGGGTGCCTGCACCACCAAAGTCCAGACCATCTCTCCATTTCCATGCACAATGGAGCCTCCAGAAAGCAGCACAAAATCAATCCCGGTCAACTCCAAGTGAGTCTATAAGCCTTATTAAAATAAAGCTGATTTAACAAATAATTGCTTAACACTTGGAATCACTAAGTGCTATGCTTTAATGTGTTTGTAAAAAAATCTCACCATATGATATTAAAAGCAGAAGCAACATGAATTTTGACACGCATTTGTCAAATCTTGAGGAACATTAACTTTCTGAGCAGAGAAGACCTCTTTAGAGACCTGAAATGGAAACTGGATAAAGTCCTTTAGACTTCTGAAAAGCTACATGCTTGAACACAGCTCCTGCCCTATAGTTTCAAATACAGGCTTACGACTTTTGCCCCTGAATAGGATGTCAGGCAGCAGACTGATGTTCCCACCAAAAATAACTAGAAAGGCCACATAAAATAAAATGAAATCGAAAACTGTCAAAAGACCTAAGAGAACTGCTGATGCAAAGGTGGCTTTCAAGGCCACAGTTTGAAGAGGGCAGAATCACAGAGAGGTGAGCTGTTGATCTGCAACTTCTTTTACCCTGGAACATTTGCAGATTCTAGGTGTAGAGTAAGAATCCACTACTGGAAGCAGAGAAATCATCAGAGCTCTAGACAGCCTTGGAGGGTTCAAAAGGCAAGGATGAACATTTAAGAGGCCTAGATCCTGGTGAGGGGCAGAAAACTGACCCTGGTTTTCTCTCCAAGAGGTTAACAGAGCAAAAAGCTAAGTGGAAAGACTGAAAAGAGAGTGAAGTTTCTGGCAGGGTCTCCATGCTTAGGGAACAAGAATTATGGTTCATGACCCACAAGGAGAAGGACCCTGGCTGAGGTAGGAGCCTAGACCTCACTCAGTTCAGTGAGAGTTGATTATCCCTTCTCAGCTTGCCTAGCAAAGGAAGGTGTGACTCCCCTTTGGTGAAGAATCTGGAACCTCCACACTTTCCCTTTTGATGGATAATGTGCAGCATTCAATCAAAACTTTTGGGGGACCTAGCAGCATGCCTAGTAATGGCAGCAATGACAGCTTTCTAATATTTAATTCGATATTAAGTGTGTATCTAATTCATACTACGTGGGCTTCCTGGAAGCATGGTTACCACAGGCAGTCTGGGAAACAGTGGCAAGGCAGGTGAGTCTGTCTGTGTGTGTAACACTGGCTTCCATATAGGAGCTGCTCATTAAATCAACATGGCCACAATTCACAGGGATAAGTTGCAAGCCAATCATTTGTCAAAGCTAATTTTCATTCGGTTTCAGACCAAGGAGTGAGGAAGGCTTTTTTAAACTGTGAAAACCTCACAAAACCAAAAAGAACAACAAAAAAGAAGAACAAAAAAGCCTTCTCTCACTCTCCAAATACAGGTCAGGTATTTCTTCTGTGTACTCTGTAGCATGGTGACTCATTTTATTCTTCCCAAGCTGCAAATTTAATCTAGGGCCGATTATAACTACCTTAGTCATGCAAGTCTCCTCCAGTGGCTGGTGTAGTGCCTGGAGCACAATGGGGGCCTGATAAATATTTTTTGATAGAATGAATGAAGGAAATAAATAAAAGCAAACCAAATGTCAAACTTACTTTGGGAAAACTGGTCACAATACCATTGTGATCAGCGGTTGGGTGCACAAAAGCCCAATGTGGACTATGGCAGATAGTCTCTTATCTGATGTAGTTAGAAGGGTAGTTATTCAGGCCAGGATCAGTGGCTCACACCTGTAATCCTAGCATATTGGGACGCTGAGAGGAGGATCCCTTGGGACCAGCAGTTCAAGACGAGCCTGAACAACAAAGTGAGACCCCCATCTCTTAAAAAAAAAAAAAAAATTAGCTGGGTATGGTGGTGTGCACTCACAGACCTAGGTATTCAGGGGGCTGAGGTGGGAGAATCATGTAAGCTTAGGAGTTTGAGGCTGCAGAGAGCCATGATCGTCCCACTGTACTGTAGCCTGGGTAACAGAGGAAGACCCTGTCTCAGAAAAAAAAAAAAAAAGAAGGAAAGAAAGGTAGTTATTCCATTCATAGAAAATAATTTATAGCATGGAACTTATAAAAAATACATACTTAGCCGGGCGCGGTGGCTCAAGCCTGTAATCCCAGCACTTTGGGAGGCTGAGGCGGGTGGATCACGAGGTCAAGAGATCAAGACCATCCTGGTCAGCATGGTGAAACCCCGTCTCTACTAAAAATACAAAAAATTAGCTGGGCATGGTGGCGTGTGCCTGTAATCCCAGCTACTCAGGAGGCTGAGGCAGGAGAATTGCCTGAACCCGGGAGGCGGAGGTTGCGGTGAGCCGAGATCGCGCCATTGCACTCCAGCCTGGGTAACAAGAGCGAAACTCTGTCTCAAAAAAAAAAAAAAAAAAAAAAATACATACTTATGTTGCATTTACCCTTAACACCTCATTTTAACTTAAACACAAATGCACATTTGTGTACTAATATCTTGACAGTGTGCCAAAGCCTTCTCAGTATAGGTCTGTTTACAAAGGAGCCAAGTGGTCCTTCTTGATGATCTTTCTTGAATGAACCGCATCCTCAATGAATCATTTCTGATTTAAGCTTTTTAAAAGTGGAGTGAGCACCAAAGGGCACAAGGGACAATCTGGGCAAAAACTTCACCAAGCCCATACACTTCCCAACATTTTCCAGTTTTCTTTCCCATAGCGGAAACCTTTTTTTAAAAATCAACTTACTTAAAGCCTCTCAAAATATTCAGCTTAATTTTCATAAGCAAAACAACTCTTTGATACTCATGTTTATAAGATTATGTGACATTTAATTACCTAATATTAACAGTATGACTGACATAGTAAGTTTGGGAGCAACTATACCTGAATCTTGGTAAGCATACAACTCAACTGGCACGAGCAGAAGTATGCAGGTTAGGAGAAGGTAGCAAATTACCAGTTGGGAGCATGGACATGACATGGGCATTCATCAGTATGCTTCATAGAAAAAATGGGTAGCAGCAGTCAATCCCATGAGAAGGCAAAGTGAGGTCACATAAGAGAGCTTATAGAGCAAGTGTCATTCAGGACAAGGAGCAGCTCCCATTAGCAAAGGGTAAGTATTCCAGAGCATTTAAATAAACAATAGTTTAACTATTAAGTTAAACTGCCCTAATATATTAACATTTATAATAAAGAATGGATAATATAATACGTACATCACCATTACATGTACATATATAGTAATATATATACAAATATTTATTTTCTTTTAAATTAATATGTTTAACATAAATTATATTTATACCATGTTCAAACAGTCTTTTTGAAATATTTGAAGTTATCCTTTGCTATATTTTATCATCAATTTAGAATGAAAAAAGGGGGTTTGAAAGATAGCCACTACTGTTTGAATTATCATAAACTTGAAATTAATGGATTACAAATTGCATGTGTAATAGATTGGATAGCAGGCCACTTTTAGACAGCAGGCTCCTAGAGAATAGAGCTAGAACTCAATGAATATGCTGTACACAAGACGCTACCAACATTAGTTCTCCATAAATCTCATTTTCTTCTTTTCTTTCTAAAAATTCAGACCTGTAATAAGAATTCAGCTCAGGTCTATCCACCTACACTTACATGCTGTGCCAAGATATCATACTATAGATATTTTTGCACTTACTCTATTAGGTAATTTTTGCCTGACATGAGTATTAATGAGAATGGGTATACTTGTTAGATATTGCAAGTAATTCAACTTTGGAAACATTTTCTATTACTTCTCTTTCAAGCTTCTTGCTTGGACTAAAGAATATTAAGATTGCAGGTGACCTACAAATCATTTTCTCCAACAAACACACATACACACACAAAAAAACAGATGAGACTGATATAAGAACATAACTATTTCCTCTAACACTAGACATTATTTTTTTCTCATTACATAATTTTACCCCTTTAAGCTTACAAAGCTTAAATATTGCTGCAATATTGCTTTTCTGTACTTGCATGTTAGGAATCCATGAAATTTTATTTGATTTTTTTCAAAAGTGTTGTGCACATATATAACAGTTGCATACCATTGATTTGGTCCAATTTTACCAGAGTCGAAAATGGGCAGAGATTAAGTAACTTGCACAAGATCACACAATTAATTAGAGGCACACAATTAACAGAAACTGACACTTACGTCAATGATCTTCCCATTGACCACGCTGGCTTTGTGTTTTCTGATTCCAGCCATGTTGATTCAGACTAAACTAGTCATCGAAATCTTCATTTTCTGAAGCAGTTTTCATCCTAAAAACTCATGAATGTTAAGTAGAGAATAAAATCCATTAAAAGATCTAACTACCATCAGTTGGTTCAGGTAAATAAAGAGTTTTATCTAATGAAAATGTTGGTAGAATACAGGAACTTAAAATTTGGCTAGTTATTGGGTTTCATAGCATAAATTATGGCAATTTAAATCAGTTTTTATTCTTACTTTATACGATAAACTAACAAGAGAACTGGTAAAACTTTCGGATGTTTTTTCTCTACAGCCTGGGTTAATAATCCAGCTTGACATCCATCCAATCCAAGAGGTGAATAATTCCAAATGAATAAACTAATTCTTTTTTTGGAGGGGGAGTTTTTGATAGATTTTTTTTTTTTTTTTGCATTTTAGGTTTTGGGGTACATGTGAAGAACATGCAAGACTGTTGCATAGGTACACACATGGCAATGTGATGTGCTGCCTTCCTCCCCATCACCTATATCTGGCATTTCTCCCATGTCATCTCTCCCCAACTCACCATCTCCTGATGTCCCTCGCCTATTTCCCCCCCAAAAGACCCCAGTGTGTGATGCTCCCCTCCCTGTGTCCACGTGTTCTCACTGTTCAACACTCACCTATGAGTGAGAACATGCAGTGTTTGATTTTCTGATCTTGTGTCAGTTTGCTGAGAATGATGGCTTCCAGGTTCATCCATGTCCCCACAAAGGACATGAACTCATCGTTTTTGATGGCTGCATAGTATTCCATGGTGTATATGTGCCACATTTTCCTTGTCCAGTCTATCACCGATGGGCATTTGGGTTGGTTCCAGGTCTTTGCTATTGTAAACAGTGCTGTAATGAACATTTGTGTGCATGTATCCTTATAGTAGAACGATTTATAAACCTTTGGATATATACCTAGTAATGGGATTGCTGGGTCAAATGGAATTTCTATTTCTAGGTCCTTGAGGAATTGCCACACTGTCTTCCACAGTGGTTGAACTAATTTACACTCCCACCAATGATGTAAAAGTGTTCCTATTTCTCCACATCCTCTCCAACATCTGTTGTCTCCAGATTTTTTAATGATCGCCATTCTAACAGGCGTGAGATGGTATTTCAATGTAGTTTTGATTTGCATTTCTCTAATGACCAGTGATGCTGAGCATTTTTTCATGTTTGTTCCACATTTATGTCTTCTTTTGTAAAGTGTCTGTTCATATCCTTCACCCACTTTTGAATGGGCTTGTTTTTTTCTTGCAAATCTGTTTTAGTTCTTTGTAGATTCTGGATATCAGCCCTTTGTCAGATGGGTAGACTGCAAAAATTTTTTCCCATTCTGTTGGTTGCCGATTCACTCTAATGACTGTTTCTTTTCCTGTGCAGAAGCTGTGGAATTTCATTAGGCCCCATTTGTCTATTTTGGCTTTTGTTGCCAATGCTTTTGGTGTTTTGGTCATGAAATCCTTGCCTACACCTATGTCCTGAATGTTTTTGCCTAGATTTTCTTCTTGGGTTTTTATGGTGTTAGGGCTTATGTTTAAGTCCTTAATCCATCTGGAGTTAATTTTAGTGTAAGGTGTCAGGAAGGGGTCCAGTTTCTACTTTCTGCACATGGATAGCCAGTTTTCCCAACACCATTTATTAAACAGGGAATCCTTTCCCCATTGCTTGTTTTTGTCAGGTTTGTCAAAGATCGGATGGTTGTATATGTGTGGCATTGCCTCCAAGGCCTCTGTTCTGTTCCATTGCTCTATATCTCTGTTTTGGTACCAGTACCATGCTGTTTTGATTATTGTAGCCTTGTAGTATACTTTGAAGTCCGGTAGTGTGATGCCTCCAGCTTTGCTCTTCTTGCTTAGAATTGACTTGGCTATATGGGCTCTCTTTTGGTTCCATATGAAGTTGAAGGTGGTTTTTTCCAGTTCTGTGAAGAAGGTCATTGGTAGCTTGATGGGGATAACATTGAATCTGTAAATTACTTTGGGCAGTATGGCCATTTTCATGATATTGATTCTTCCTAACCATGAGCATGGAATGTTTCTCCATCTGTTTGTGTCCTCTCTTATTTCATTGAGCAGTGGTTTGTAGTTCTCCTTGAAGATGTCCTTTATGTTCCTTGTTAGTTGTATTCCTAGGTATTTTATTCTCTTTGTAGCAATTTTGAATGGCAGTTTGTTCTTGATTTGGCTCTCTTTAAGTCTATTATTGGTGTATAGGAATGCTTATGATTTTTGCACATTGATTTTGTATCCTGGGACTTTGCTGAAGTTGCTTATTGGTTTCAGGAGACTCTGGACTGAGACGATGGGGTCTTCTAAATATACAATCATGTCATCTGCAAATAGAAACAATTGGACTTCCTCCTTTCCTATTTGAATACCTTTTATTTCTTTTTCTTGCCTGATTGCTCTGGCTAGAACTTCCAATATTTTATTGAATAGGAGTGGTGAGAGAGGGCATCCTTGTCTAGTGCCAGATTTCAAAGAGAATGCTTCCAGTTTTTGCCCATTCAGTATGACATTAGCTGTTGGTTTGTCATAAATAGCTTTGATTTTGAGATACAGTCCACCAATACCTAGTTTGTTGAGGGTTTTTAGCATGAAGGGCTGCTGAATTTTGTCAA